GGGGCTGCCTGAGGGAGAGAGGTCGCCGGCGCGACCCCAGCCCGCCAGGCCCCGCTGAGGAAAATGGCGCCAAACGGTCGCGGAGCGGAGGGCGTGGGGCTGCGGGGAGCAGGGGGCGTGCGCTGGGCTCTGGGCGCGGTTCCGTGGGGGCCGCCAGGCCCATTGCGAGCGTTCCGTGCGTGGCGAGCGTGGCCCCGTTTTTTTGGGCCCTCCCCGGCCTCGTTCGTGGCGCCGCCGGTCGCATACGACAGCGGCGGGGTGTACGTGCGCGAGTCTGGCGTCTCCATCTACGCCGCGAGCCCCCCCGTCGATTTCCTGCGCAGCGTCTCTGCCGTGGCACTCGGCCCGAGTGTTTTTAGCCTCATGCACGACTGGGCTTTCCGCCACGCGTTGAGCTCCTGGATTTACAGTTCTATACGCTGTCTGCTAGGCTTTTTGCTGCGTACTGATGTTTTTCAGGCTTTCTATCTGGTAGCCTGTACACCGTATCCTCATCAGAGTCTTTGGTATGTTAGTTGCATGTGGACAGCCTTCATTGAACTGATGCTTACTGTCTGCTAGAGCTGAGGTTCTTTCTGTCCTGGATATCTGTGCTGTTGCAAACGCTGTAGGATTGACTTTTTTTGTCTGTAGGCTATACTGCTGACTGCTTTCCAGAAACTACACCAACATGTTACTATTTCCTGTGTGCGTGTGGCATTGATCTGGTGGTCTTTGGTTTGCATATCCAGGTTGCTGCTCTCTAGTTCAAAGCGCTACATTCTTCTTTGTGTATTTTTCTGCTTCTGGTGTCTAGCTCTTAAACTCAACAGAAATGCACAAATGGAATTTTTATGTCTCTCTTGATCTCTATTTTTATCTTTTCCCCTTAATAGGCTATTGAGGAGGAAGGGGGAAATCCTGATGAAATTCCAGTGGTTTCAGAAAATGTAATGAAGAAAACTCCAAAACGAAGCAGCAAAGGTACAGGGCAGTTAGAGAGGATCTCCACCCTGACCCCTTCAAGTTTTCTAGCAGCTTTTGCTCATGAAATGGAACCTTGCTAATCTTTTTTTCTGATTTTCCTTTTGGAAAAGTGCTCGATTTAATTTTGGCACTTTTGCTGAATGTTTTGCAGTCCCAAAGCTATAGCTAACGTTCCTTGCATGAGCCAGATTTGGGTAAAACTGGTTCTCTGGAAGAAATTAAGCACGGTTCAATCTTCTTTTCCTTGGTTCTGACATTTAATGCCATATGTTCCTGGTATTCTTCCCCATGTTTGTGCTCAGGTTCTAGGGATGGGTCATATGGTATTAAACTTACTGGTCGTTTCTTCACAGAATTTCTTGTAATTTAATAAGGCAGGGATCAGTCCCCTCGAAGGATCTGTTGGTTTGTTCTCAAAGATCCCTGAAACTCGTAGTAGAAATTACTAAGTAATGCTGAAGCAGTGTCAGTGTTTTTAAAATAGATAACTTTTTTTTTTAATGTGACTCTACCTTTACTTTAGAGAAATATAAGTGGTTTTTTTTGAGGTAGAAATGCAGAGCTTCTAGCAAATTCAAAATAACCTCTGTAGTGTGTTATGCTTCATAGCTAATAGCAGTCTCATTTTTCTCCCCAGAAGACTAGTTTTTAATCAATATCTGAAATTGGATGTGTATTTAAGGCTTTCTCTCTGCATGATTTTTCTAATGGTGAGACGGTCTTACGTAATCCTTATTCAAAAAAAAAATCTGCTGTTTTTCTAAAATTAGTTAGTTTGATCTTATTTTGTAATCAAATAATGTTGAAAATTTTGTTTTAGAGCTGAGCAGAATTAACTAGTTTTGATGAAGGATTTTAATTAGATTATTAATTTTGATTTACATAAAATGTAAATTTGTGAGATGAAGCTCGAATGTTTTGCTAACTAATTTGTTTGACCCAGATTTTTGTCCTTATATCCAATTTGTAGTGAGGTTACATTTACTTGCACACGAAAATGTGAAATTCTAATTGGAAAGAGAACAAATGTCATAACTGTGGGCAAAAGCAGAGAGGTCTTTGGTAATCACATTCGTTTTGAAGTCTTGGAAAAATATCTAACATGTTACAGCAGTTTTATTGTTGGGGTGGAAATAGATGAGATGTTCCTCTTATCTCCAAAACCCTTTTATCTTTTTTATTGTAACATGCTTGTAGTTTCTGAGGAAAACAACGTTCATAAAAGATGAAACAACTACTTAGCTCTGAGTTTGAGGAGTTACTATTTGGTGCTGAGACTAGCATACTGTTTTCAGTCATGTCAGTTCTGGTGTTATGTGTCAGGCTGGTGAACAGGGCTCTGCAGTAATGCTTACACATAGAGTGGTGGGTTTTTTAATTGCTTTGTGTTGGGTTTTTTGTTTGGTTGCTTTTTTTCTTTTTTCCTTCTAGTAAATGTCTGTAAAGAAATAAAAGATTGAGATAGTAAATTACTGCAGTCTCAGCCGAGCTAGAATGTTCTGGGGAGTGCACGGTGGTGCTTCTTAAACTCGTGACAGACCTTGGACTATAGCATATTTGTCAGTTACTGAACTGAAATCGTGTATCAACACTCAGTTGTGGAAAATAAGGAAAGAGCAGATAACTAAACTGAATGGAATACCAACTGAAAAAATATGAAAAAATAAAACTTGAAGGATATATATTGTTACCTTCTTTCATTCTAACAATCATAATGTTGTTAGGACGTAGACCAGATGAAGAGGGAGTAGAAGATAATGGCCTGGAAGAGGATTCGGGAGATGGTCAGGTATGTGAGGCTGTGTTTGAAGCAAAGTAAAGACAGTATTGCTTTCAAGTTACAATGACTATTATATATACTTTTTTTCTTTTCACAGGAGGATATTGAAGCAAGTTTGGATAACTTGCAGGATATTGACATGATGGATATTAGTGTGTTAGATGAAGCTGAAATAGATAATGGCAATGCAGTAGATTGCGGAGAGGATTACAGTGCTGATAATATTCTTGACTCACTGTCTGATAGTAAAGAAAATGCTGATGCAGAAGTGAAAGAACTTCCAGATCAGCCTACAGAATATGCTGTAGGTAACTTGGAGGCATCCCCACAATTTTCAGAAATTAAAGAAGAATCAAGAGAAATACCAGTAGCGATGGTATGCATCTCTCCTGTGGAATCAGATTATTTTTTCCTTTCTTTTTTTTTTTTTTTTAAATTAAATAGCAAAACAGTAGCTAAAGAGTATTTCAGACAATTTGGGGCTCTACCAGTTCTCATGGTCATTGCTTTTTTACATAGTTGTCGAAATGGCATTCTTGATTTTAAAACGCTTAGATGTTGTTTGTACACATATGACTGAACATGTTAATAGTAATCCAGAAAGCATTTGTTTCAATCATGCTTTGAACTTTCTACTTCACCTTATGTTTACATTCCCATTTTCCTATCTTTTATTTAGGAGGACATGTGAGGCATACAAATACTGTAGCCTTATGTACTTGGCTTCAGCTGAATAGCAACGTTCTGGGGTATTCTAGATTAATTTTCTGTTAAGATGGGGTCTCACAGTTACTCAGTTGTTGGAAGTATTTTTAGGTTGACTTTCTGTGTTCGTCTGACTGTTGAGCTGCTTATGTGGCATTGTCCGTCTGGTCTATAAGATACTTTTTTCCCCCCCGAAGTCAAGTGTTTACCTCCTGAAATGTACAACAAAGCATTTGAAGCAAGTTATTTCTGCCCCATCTGATAGGAAAGTATAGCTCTTTGTTGTGCATGCACATTGTGTTGTCAGTCCGGAATACAAGATTGTAAAGTTGGATAGTTTCCCCCGCAAATCCGAAAGTTGCAGAAATAAGCTTAATTGCCAATCATGTCCCTGCCCTGCACAAGTCAAATAAAAATGCCTAGAAAGTAGTTTTTTCAGTGACTAAACTACTGGCGTCCAGGTCAGCTCTTGCGGTGGTCTTTCATAGAATGGTTTGGGTTGGAAGGGAACCTTAAGGATCATCTAGTTTCAACCCCTCTGGCATGGGCAAGGACACCTTTTATCAGTAAAGAAAACAGTTATTGAGTCCCATAGACTTTTTGACTCTTCATTGTTGCTGTAAATAACAGAGAGAGAATAAGAGAAAGTTTGCTGTTGGAATCCCCATCCTTAAAAGATTTTTGTGAGCTGACCAATATACTTCAAAGGTAATGAGAAACCTACCACCTGAATAAGCTATCGCGAGGAGGCATGGGGGTCATTGGTCAATTTTTACCTGTATTTGTTTAGGGTGTTAGATGTATTTGCTTAGTATCAGTTGTCAGTGAAAATAAAATCTTTGATTTCGCATTCAGGTTTCATTCATAATACCATTCTTTTATAGATAACAAAATGTTATTTACTTTTTAAAGGTAGAGGTTGAAGATTGCGGAAACAGTTTAGATGCTTCTTCATCTGATTTAACCGTAATGAAGGTAAACCGTAACCAATTTTCCTTTACAAACGAAAAGGCACAATATATGCCATGTGAACTCTATGCTGAAATAGTGTCTGTACAGGTATTACACAGTGGGCGCGTTCTTCTTCTGCAAAGAACAGGAACTATAACGCCTTTCTAATTTAATTACATGGACAAAGATGTCTATGTATCTGTCTGTCAGGTCATATGCATGTGATGTTGATATCATACTGAGTTTGGGCGGTAGAGTAGATTCTTTTTATCTGTTGCGTAAACCAACGCAGTGCCTTATGTTATATTTAACTTCCATTAAAAGTGTGTGTATCCATGTTGACAAGAAAGCTGAAACTGAGATATTCCTGAAATACTGCCTTTGTTTACAGATCACTCATGGTAGGTTAAGGATGCTTGTAGCTCCAAGTGAAGCTGGTGTTTCTATTGATGCTGTTTTCAGAAAGCAGACTTTGTAAAGTAGACTGTAGAGAAGGGTAACACGAGGATAAGCTTTGCTCTGTGCTGCTTACATTTATTGATTTGTTTACTCATGTGAATATGTGCTGTTGTGTTCAACAGGTGTCTTTGAGGACTATTGAAGTTTTTACACATTTCATAAAACTTGAAGACATTAAAAAGTAATGTTAAAACTTCTTGTGATAAATTTATTTAAAATTCAACGTTTTCAAAGCTGAAATAGACTAAATTACAGTAACTCAGCCTAAATTCTATCCTGTCTTCGGAGGCTGAGAGGTGTTATTCAGAATAAAATCTTGACTTCTTACAAAATAGTGATATTTCTCCTTTTTTTCTCTCTTTCACTGCAGGAACTTGAAGAGTTACCTTTGGAGCCAGGTACTGTTTTTTTGGTTTGCTTGTTTTTTTTTTTTTTTTTTTTTTGTTTAAATTAAAAATAAAAAGTCTTGGGCATTGAAGCAGTTTCATTCTTCATTTAATTCTTTGTGTCCCTAGTTGTTTTTTTTTCTTTTTTTTTTTTAACATACGTTACTGTAGTGTACATTATTCTGGTGGACGATCCAGGTCATGCAGGGTCATAGAGATTGGAAACCCAGTCATATCACCAGATCTGTGAATAACTGCTTTTTGAAAACATGTATTTATTGTGATGAAATGGTTCCACAGAACTGTTATCTACAGTGGAGTTAAGGAATGAGCCTTAAAGATGTAAACGTTCTGAAAACAGATCTTGTGATATCACACTGTACTGTAGTTCTATGAATCTAAACACAAGAGCGTAGGTAATACAAAGCTTTGGTACAGAACAGAAATTAAAGAGTGACTGGACTTCAGAAGAAGGAATACACTGTCATCACAGGAAATTTCTACAGATCCTGTTTGCTTTTGGGACTGCGAATGCACTCATGCACCATCAGAAGATGCCCAGTTC